AACCTGTAAACAGTTACTTATCCACTTAGTAAGTCTGAACCCACCTTTTCTGAGTAGTAAACCAAGGGTTTTTGCAAGCTCGATTGCATCCTGCACATTATCAATTGATGTTAAATAGTCGTCGACATAGAAACTCTTATCTACAACTTCCTGGACATCTTTATTTAATTCCTTTCCGAATATATCTACCGTTTTCCGAAGAGCGAAATTAGCGCAAAAGGGAGAGGACACGGCTCCAAACGGATGAACTGTCAAACAATATTCTTTAGCCTTTCGTCCTATATCACCGTCTTCCCACCATAATAGTCGAAACGCTCCCCTGTCTCGTTTCGGAATCTTTACTTGAAGGAACATCTCCTCGATGTCAGCGGCTAATGCTACGTTGCATAATCTGAATCGTAGAAGTATACCAATTAAACTGTTTACAGTATTAGGTCCTCTCAAAAGCTGATCGTTAAGAGAACAACCTTGATAGACAGCTGCACAATCAAAAACAATTCTTAATTTTCCAGGCTTTTTAGGGTTGATAACAGGATGATGAGGAATATACCAACAAACAGCATCACGGTCGAATTCCTCCTTACTAGCTTCAATGATGTAGCCTTTGCTTAAATGTTTACTCATCACAAGTTGATATTTCTCCAGAAGACTATTATCCTTCATAAACCTCTTCCTTAAACACTCTAGTCTACGTTCAGCTAGTTCCAAATTATTCGGTAGCCTTGGCTTATCATACTTCCAGGGTAGACCAACTTGGAAATGGCCACCTTCCAGTCTAAAGGAGCTACTAACTATTTCTAGAGCTCTTTTATCTTCGACAGAATATTCATTACGAAACCCATCTGCGTCCTCGAATTCATGATTATATAATCTTTCTATATCTCGCAAAATATCATTAGTAGAACAATGACACCACTGAACTTGATGTAAAGACCTCGATGCTTCTTTAGGACCTAAAATCATCCAACCGAGATGAGTACGCACACCAAACGGATGCTTCCTGTCTCCCATGCGTTGTTCAAGGACCCAATGTGCATCTGGAGCATCACACCCAATCAATATTCCTACTAGATTACTTTGCAGCCTCGGTAGAGTTATGTCCCTTAAATGTTTCCACTTTCTCAGCTGCAGTTCAGTTAAAGGCTCTGCATAATCGATCGGAAGTTTCTTGGTCGTATAGGCCTTGTTGATCTTTATAGAACCCCGCTCATCTAATGAAAATACCTCTAAATTCACTTCCAGACATTCACAAGTAGAAGTTCCATTCACAGTCGTCAACTTTATTGAAGTCTCCTTACCTTTGAGACCTAACCGATTAACCAACTCTTCGCATACAATAGAGGTATCTGAACCATTGTCCAGAAGAGCGTATGTTTCCAGACATCCTTTGGGGCCATATAGTCTAACCGGAACGATACCCAAACAAACCTTTGGGAATTTCCAATCCTTAGCAAAATTCACTACATGTTTGTTAGAAGCATCAATATGCAATAATGGATTATGCCGAATCTTGCAATTATCAACGTCACACCTTGTGTCTGAGTTACACGACTTGGCTATGTGACCCTTCCTTAAACACAAGTAACATAGACCACGCTTTCTCACTTCCTGCCTCCTCTCTGTAACATTCATTTTTGATAACTTCATACAGTCTTTCTCCTTGTGATCACCAAAACAAATTTCGCAACTTAAAGCCTTGAATAAGTTGCTTGGTTCCCTCTTAACTACATTAAAGCGTGATCTCTTGTCAACTTGGCCTTCATAATTACCTTTACGAAACCTTGAGTTACAATGTACCAATCTACCAAAACGTGATCGCGCAATTCTGGCTCTTTCTTCTACAAACATCACTAATTCTTCAAATATCGGCTCTCTACCGGTCATCATAATCCTATCAGCAGCTTCTACCCATTTATTCTGTAATTCCAAGGGTAAACGTGACACAATTATTTCCAAATTAGCCGTAGAATTCACATCAGACATATACCCCATTTCCTTCAATGTTATACATACATTACGTAACTTAATTGCGAAGTCAGTTAGGCTATCTGCGGATCCTTCAACAGATTTGTGGCTAAGTAATTCGTTAATAAGATTACGGGCGACAAGATGTTCTTTACCAAACAAATCATACAAAATTTCCTTAGCCCTATCGTAACCCAAGTGACTGGGCAAAGAAATACAAGCTTCAATAGCCATTCTGGCCTTTCCCTTACAATAGTATGACAAATATGACAACAACTGGCCCTTGTCAGACAGTTTACTCTCTATAATGCTTGTAAACTGACTAATAAAACGGTGGTACTGGCTTGGTTGTCCGTCAAAAAACATCATATCGATTTTAGGCAAAACTGTATTATTAACCGTAGCACGTAACGTGTCCTTTAATTCATCAATACAATCGCATTTTGAGGCGTTAATTACCTTATTACGCGCAATATCACAATCCAAATACCTTTCGACTTTAGAATTTATCTCAGCTTTGTCTACTGACAGTCGGTTATCGTTTTCTATGAGCTTACATTCTAATTCAGCCATATCAACTTCCTCTTGAAGCTCTAACATTTTAAGCTGCTTTTCTAACTCAAGTCTCTTTTCCAAATTCTTCTTCTTAATTAATGCCTTATCTAACTTCAATCTAGAAGTACTAAACTGAGAGGAAGACTTACTATTAACACTAATATCATCAAGTTTATCATCATTAACATCAGACATACCACAAACAGCTTTAGAAAATTTACCATCCATTTCGTTCTGCTCCTTCAGCCTTTTGCTTCTAGTTTCCATTGGATGCTTTTGTTAGAAATCGATTACCAAGCAAATATGAAATTATTCCAAACGTATTCGGCCAATAATAACAAAAATGTCCAAAAGTATCCAAAATATAACCAAAGAACCAAAATTGAATTGTCCAAGGTATCCAACGACCAAATTAAAAGTTAGAAGAACTTTTGGACCCAAATTTCCAAAAGTTTCCAACGACCAAAATTTGAATTGAAGAACCTCTGGAGCCAAACGACCAAAAGAATCCAGTTTATGACAAATTTAAATTAGAAGAACTTTTGTTACGTCCAGTTTTTTGCTCGTTGATCTTACGAAGCACGGTTGTCGACTATTTGTAATTCACGGTCCGAAATTTCTAAACCAAGAACGAAACTCCAAAGTAGATACCAAAGTTTATTCCAAATCACAAATTCCACCAAAATACTGTATTACAAATAGACGACCAATGTCGTTCTAACAACAATAATTATAATAATTACAATTACCTTCTAATTTATTAGCTCTTGGAGCAAAAAACTGCAACGAACAACAAAGAGAAACGGGAGTCCAAAATGTCCGCAAATAATAATTCAAACAAGTTCATAAGTTAAGTAAAACAAATATACCCAAAAAACAGTGAAATTAATGATTATATATATAAAGGTTTGATCAGCAAAATGTCTTCGTTTCTCCCGTAACATTTACCCAGGAGCCTGGTAAATTGATATCTTGTTAATCTTATCATAAAGATCATTACGCAATTACTTCATCATTTCTTGTTATATACCTGGAACTAACGTACTTTTATTATCAACCAGCAGTGGTTCGTCGCAACGCAAACTACATAACGCGTGCGCTTTACAGTCCTATGTGAAACATATTAGCCCTCCATAAAAAGCCAGTGTACCCTGTTAATTGTACAGTTGACTGAACAACATTTTGCAGTATATATGTCAACACTTTTAACATTTCGATAATAATAATTTATCGTTAATAAAAACATAAACTCGCCAGTAAAATGGCATGACTCATGTAAAATTTTATCTGAAAATACATGATTATTTTTTGGAGGTTGATAATAGGCGAAGAGGATTAAATCGAGCTTGTAAAGGACTTCAAAGCGATTGAGGAATGTGCAGCAGGCACCTGGTTAAAACTGAATTGGTCGACATGTCACGTCATGAATAATCTGCTCCCCGTAACCCAAGCAGATTACTTTCTCACTGGTATTATGCTCCCTAATGCCTAACATTTGAGGGCCTGGAAACAACTTCAGTTTACACAAGGGATGCAACCAAAGCTAATCGAAATCTTCGATTCACGCGAAGACAACTTGCTATACTGCTCAAAACTTTGCAATATACCCTCTGCTACACCTTGAAGTTCACAATGTCGTCGCACCCGCTCACTTTAAGATAGACATAAATTTCCGGAGTCAAGTGCACAGACGAGCAACGAAATGAGTGGTAGGGTTGAAGGACAAAGCTTACGAAGACAGACTCCAGCACTTAGCACTATTTATCTGAGCTACAGGCGAATCAGTGTTGATCTGATGATGGCTTGCAACCCTGAACCATCATATCAGCATCTGATAAAACACTATCAACGCAGTTTTCTATATACCCCTAGGCTAACTGTACATTTTTTCTCAATAAGGTTTATCGGAACTTCAAATGCGTTCCTCGCTGATGTGAATACAGCAAAGTCAATGGACAGCATTAAGAGAAGATTGGATAATCACTTTCTAACTGTCAGATCAACTGTGCTTGATGCACGTTTCGACACCTGAAAGTTATGATCTCTCTAACTTCTTCAGATCACTGACTTATTCTGTCTCCCCTATTATCTCCGCTTCCTCATCTTTGATTTTACTTCAGTCCTCCAACATTATTTCCACCAAAAGTTGGTTGACTTGTCTATTAATTTACTACTTAAATCTGCTCACTAGCATTGGATTTTTCGATTTACTATTCCACACATTGCAAATAACTCACCTCCAGCCTGCTACATTTTGAGCTGCCTTGAGATAAACACACTGACTTGAACTAAGGGGTTTACAAATCCATAAATAACTGCCAAATGACAAGAAAATTTACAGTCGAGTGTCTAGACCCTCGTCCACTGTACTATATCTGAACACTTGGAACCGTACAGAAAGAACAGGAATTTAGAACAAGGAAATCAATTGATTTATACCAGCTTGTGAAGATGATGTTGGATATCGGATCTACAAAGAGCGTCGATTAAAATGCTGCGCTACTAGTGTCGCAGTAGATTATTGATCACTATCGTTACGATAGTTTGGACCTGATCCATACAATTATCAATCACAAGTAATTAGATCTCAATGTTTAAAATTTTTCCTGAAAAAGTCTGGCGGCTGTCAATCTGAATACCTTTATTTATATATGTGTATATTCATACTGTTAGTTGTCTTGTTAATTCCCTAACTAACTACTGTGGTAACTAATATCACAGGTGTTTCTCACTTGTATCTCCATGAAATATTATCCCTGAATTTTCAATTTGTTGGGTCACTGATACTCTGAGTTGCAAAATTAATCCTTAGTTTAAAACCTAGCCTCCATGCGGATTTAGATTTACGGACGAACGCTTAACCTTTAGACCACTGAGTATTATCTACAGTGTTAATGTCTAACTTAGGTCAGTCCAAAGATTTTGTGTAACCTCACCTTTTGTCTTCGGTAGTTACTGCCTACACCCATCGGGGTGTGAAAAAGATCATGAAATCAGGAGAGCAGGTGTTTTCGAAATGGAAACTTTTCAGGCTTTCGGTAGGTACGCATCAAGGTAGAGCTTGAAACTGAAGTGCTTGAGCCATTAACATTGGTGTTTGCTTTGTACAGTACCATAAAATCGTGACTTCTAACTTGCCTTAATAGTGTACCGATGTAATCACTGCACAAACAAGTAATTAATCTTGATTAAACAAACCTCAAGTCTCAGTTGAGAAATGAGTAACTAAATCCTGAATATAGTAGTCGTATTAGTAACATTAAGTAATACTTGACAGATAACAAGTATGTATTTTAGTTGGCACCTATTCGCGTTTATAAACAGTGCAAATGTTTATTCGTTTAGTCGTCGTTTATTCAGGCATCCAATCATTTATACATAAATTTTCTTTCGTTTTCTTTTTCTTACAGATCTATTAATAGGATTCATACTTGTATAGTTACATCATTTGTCGCTGTAATGGATATCGAAATCGAATCAGCTGAGTAATGCCATTACATTATAAATGACAACCTGTTCCTTTTTCTTGCAGTGTGGTTCGTTTAGTAGAACAGTATTTAAAAGAAAGCAATTTACTGCGAACATTACGTACAGTACAGGTAAATTAAAAGATGAGGCGATGTTATCAGTTTAAAAAAATACTTCTTTTATAAGGAAGAAACAAGAGTATCACTGAATACTGTTGAATCTATAGAAAGTTTCACGTCAGATATCATTAATGGTCATTGGGATGTTGTTTTGCAAACTGTACAGTACTTAAAATTACCAGAACAAAAATTAATGGATTTGTATGAACAGGTAATATTCGTTTTGATCTTTCAACCGAAAATATATAATATCGAATAAAGATTTTCATTGAATTGCTAGAACTTCGTGATACTGGTGCAGCTAGATCAATACTTAGACAAACGGAACCAATGATTGCAATGAAGCGTACACAACCTGAGCGTTATACAAATCTAGATAATCTTTTAAATCGGTCATATTTTGATCCAAGAGAGGTAATATACTTATTTTTTAACATATATAAATCCACTTCTAGGCTTATTCAGATGGTCAGTCAAAAGATAAACGTCGCCAAGCTCTGGCTAGTTCATTATCTGAAGAAGTTAGTGTTGTAGCCCCATCACGCTTGTTGGCCTTGCTTAGTCAAGCGCTTAAATGGCAGCAGCACCAAGGATTATTGCCACCTGGTACAGCAATCGACGTGTTTCGTGGTAAAGCTGCTGTGCGTGAACAAGAAGAAGAAAAACCACCCACTAAATTATCTACTGTTATACGAGTAAGTGTATGCTTGTATGTAGATCTGAATAATTCTAGTTTATGTAATCTGTGAATATAATAGGGAAGGTAATGGCAATATTTATAGCTCAGGTTGTTGCTGGTGTTCTGTTCTGTGTGCGGTATCGTTTAACTATGAAGCTTTCGTTGTTTTTATAAACAAAATCAACATTTACTTCAAAATGAAGTACATGTATAAACTATCCAGCATACAGAATACAGTAAAAATATGTTATCTGCATACCATTTAAACCTTAGATACAATATTAATGATAACGCTTGGATGAGTGATTTAATTACAAATTGACTATATTCTTGCATATACATATTCTATTCAATTTCAAGAAACTATAAACATGCTTCGTAACAACCATTATCTAGGTATAAATGTAATAGTTCAAATTTTTCCACGTTTAGTTAACTTTCAATGTACTGTAGTCCATATTGTCACTTTATCATGAAGAAGCTATCGGCTTACTTTCGTAAAGTGATTATTATAAAAACATAAAATCTCAATGAGAAGAAAACACATAAGACTCATACCGTAGAATATCCAGTTCTTATCAAACAATCAAATGTTCTTTGATATTCTGAACCCCTCAATTTCTATAATCCAATGATTTACAATTGTGCTATGTGTATCACCCAATCATAGACCATAGTGGTGACCAGCAGATAGTCACCACAGTAAATCATCATAGCTTTTTATTAACCATATCACAAATTAAACATCATAATTGTTTAATTGCCTACCGAAATAACACTAATCACAATAGTTCAAAATCTTATTCATCAAAAGTTGACCTCAGTTTTTGAAATTGGTCCTAAACTTGTTGCACAGACAAGCAACTCTCAAAGAAGCTACTACATGCAATTTTAGAAAAAGAAACCCATGAGTCTTTATTATTTG